GGCTCACCATATTCCAGCCTGGTTCTTGGCTCTGTAGGCTCAGAAATTTCATTTTGTTGGTAGGCTGGGGGTGGTGGGTTCTAGGACTTAGATCCCACTGACCAAACTCTGAAGGGACAAATGCATAAACCCTAATAATATTGTTATCATTAATAGGTAGTAGCATTTAGTGAGTGCCAGTCCTAGTGCTAACTGCTTCGTACATATTAATACATGTTATCCACATAATACCCTGACATGGAAGGTATTCTTTTCCTCCTAATGCTACTAATAAAGAAAACGAGGTCCAGAGATTAAGGAATTTCTCCAAGGTTTCACTATTAGTAAATGGTGAAGTTAAGATCCTAACCTGAATAGTCTGGTTCTAGAAATCATGCTCTTAATTTCCAGTGAGAAGTATAACTGATTCACTCATTAGCTCCCTGCAGGCAAACCTAAACAGGAAGCCAAACTACAGTCAGAAAGTTGGGGAGGAGCATGGAGGCAGGTGACCTCAGTGGCTGCCATTATTCGGTCGGGATGCTGTTTCACTCTAAAGGTTGCCTTATTGCAGAAACTGGATATGCTCCCTAGAGTCAGGATCCCATCTGCCTTGGAGGGTATCTGGATGGTCACAATGCCATGTTGTGTCTCACCACCCCCCCGCCCACCCCTTGTTTCCAGACCTCTTCTATAATATAGTTGTTGTGGTAAGAAATTACTTCGCTGTAATCTTGGCTTCCCGCTCTATCACCAGACAAGCAATCCCAGAGTTCACTGAACACAAAGCCTCATGGGCCACATGAAGACAAATATATCAAATCACCCAGTTAATTGAATCCATTTAACACATACAACAAGGAGGAAGGGGAAAGTGATGGGAGAGGTTAACACACTGAGAAGAGGGTGCAGTGATGGCGGAAGCACCACACGGTGTCCAGCCTTGACTTACACAATCTGTCTGGCTCCATCTGCTGCATCCAGTCTTCCCTACCGGTGCTGCAGGTGAAAGGATTACAGCTGAGCAGGAGCGAGGAGGCTCAGCAAGTGCAAGGTGCCTGAAGCTAATTTATGCTCACTCGATCACTAATAACCTGCAGAATAGCTATGGATTTCCCTGTGTGTGGCAGGCAGAGGACATACTGAGCCACAGTAGGTCTCACCAATGGATGGCTGATTTAAGACTTGAATACTAGGTACCTCATATACCTCATGAATATTCAGCATGGTTCTTGGCCCTTCCTAGATCTATGTTTACCACACATACTCTACTTAATTTCTGTTAACATATCTCAGAAGCTTATTATCTTTTATCTTATTATTTATTATCTACGATTAGTTTCTTCTCTCTTATTTCTCTTACTTTCTGTAGAAGAATTGAATATTCTTTTTTTTGAGAAGGAGAGGGTTGGCGGAAGGGGGCGAGTGAGTCTTAACCAGGCTCCATGCCCAGTGCAGAGCCCAAAGTGGGGCCCGATCTCACAACCCTAAGATCATGACCTGAATGAAAATCAAGAGTCAGACGCTTATCTGACTGAGCCACCCAGGCGCCCCAAGAATGGAATATTCTTAAATAATACATTTAACACATTATAACAGTCAACTCAGCTGGGGAATCTATCAGATTCTTTAAGATGGCTACATTTTTCTGGTTTAATCCTGAAAAATATGGCCCTGCCCACCTGTTCATACCTCATCTTTACCCACTGTCTACTGTCCTCTCGAAATTTTGGTTACACTGACTTCCCTCCCCACTCATTTTGGAGCATGTACAAACTAGATGGGGTGAAATAGGCAATAAATACACCAACTTTAGTTTCTTTTTATGTTACCTCAGGGCTTTAATCTTTCATATAGATCTCCTTTGATCCTGAAAACGTTCCTGTGAGAAAGACAGGAATTCTCAGTGACACTAAAGATGAAAAAACAGAACTTTGGCAAAGCTAAGATTTGTCATGGTTCATATGGCCCAGATTATCTACCTATCTATCATTTATCTTCTATCGTCTATCATCTATCCATCTATCCATCTATCATCCATCATCCATCATCTATTATCTATCCATCTTGTGATTGTTTGGGGGGAAATTATACATGCTTATTTTAAGAAATTCAAACAATTCAGAAATGTTCAACAAATATAACAAAACCAACACCAAGAAATCATTCTAAAATTTTTATAAACCTTCCTGGTAATTCTCCATACAGCCATACATATTTATATATTCTAGTAACATTCTGTGCAAAAGATAGTTCAGTTCTTTTGGCTCAAGTAGAGAAATAATATGTTCATCAATAGCTAGAATAGGAAGTACAGAGAGAAAGGTTTCCAAGAAAGAAAGAATGTAGTGAAAGATGACTCAGGAGCAGCGAGCCTAGGTTTCTGGGAGGATAATGCAGCTATTCTGACAAGTAGGGAGCCTGGAAAGGGAAGGTAAGACTTCAGACTGGTCCATTGTGAGGTTTGATTAGCTGGCGGAACACTCACGTCCCTCTGCTTCCATGTGGAAGTAGACCTGCAGACTGGATTCTATAATCATTGATATATATTCTAGTGGAAGTCCTGAAATCACCCAGGGAGGGGACAGATGGCAGCAAGGGCTGGTTCGAAGAGAGCATCTGCGTCACTCAGGGGTGGAAATGAGAAATAGCTTATCTTGTTGGAAATTAAAGAAATTAAATAGCAATATATTCCTTACTGTTACAGATGGTTGAGAACAATAACAAAAAGCCATTTATTAATGAAAAAAGATGCAGAATGTATTCTGTAATTTGGCAATATTCAGAGGCTGGATACAGCTAATAGAAGATTCAGTTATGCCATATAATAGGATCTAGTGAAGGAGACAAGATGAGAACAAGGGTCACTATTTTTTTTAAAGATTTTATTTATTTATTTGAGAGCGAGCACAAGCCTGGGGGAGAGGGGAGCAGTGGGAGAAGCAGACTCCCAGCTGGAGCAGGGAGCCCCACGCAGGAGCCGATCCCAGGACCCTGGGATCACGACCTGAGTCAAAGGCAGACGCTTAATCAAATGAGCCACCCAGGCACCCCAACAAGGATCACTATTAAAATCACTGTAAATAAGATGCATAATTAATAGGCAAAGGACCATAGCTTAAAGAAACTTGAGAAGAAAAAAGAAACATATCCATTGGTTACAAAATTCAATACTATTAAAACACAAACCAATTATTATTTAGGAAAACAAGCTGGCTACACTTTTCATTCATACATCTTTTATGTTTGTCTCAAATGCTTTGAGGAAATAAGCTGTTTTACCTTTTCCTTCTGTAATATTTTGCACTACAGAAAATTTACTAGGATCATTCATCTAGTATTTTGTGTGTGTGTGTGTGTTTCCATTCAAAGCAAGCAAAATTTAACATTTGGGTAAACCAATTAGGGCAATATATATTCAGATTTAAATACTTTAGTTTCATTTAAAGAAAAACTGTTACATAGACCAGTGGTTCTCAAACTGGGTATCATAATCACCTGGAGGGTTTGTTAAATTGCTAGGACATACTCCCTAGAATTTCTCATTCAGCAAGTCTGGAGCGGATCCAAGATTTTGCGTCTCTAACAAGTTCCCAGGTGATCTGATGTTCCTAGATTAGCGACTACACTTTGAGAATCACACTTTGAGAACCGCTAGTTTAGACAAAGGACATGTTCCCTACCCCCTTCCATTGTTAAGTTCTCTTTGAACTTTTGCTATCTCCTCCCCCAGAGTAGTTCAGTGAGGATCAGATATATTCAATCTTCATTGCCTTTAAAATTAACAAACAAACAAAAACACAGTGATACTTGCCACAAGCCCCACCTCCATAGCCAAGATTTCCCATCTCCCAGCAGCCAGTGACTTTTGTAGTGTTAGGACTCCCATGGTAATTATTGTCTACACTTCTCATCCTACTGAACCGGTGCTACGTGTGCTATTCCACCATTTATGTAAGGATAACATGTATTTTGTGTATTTTTCCTCCCCATTCTGATAAGCTCTGAGAGGACAAATCTCTCATTCTTTGGCATTCTGGCTAAATGTTTTACACCTGGTTCACTTTCAAGTGTTTGTCGCTAATGAGAGCAAACAAGTGTGGAGACCAATAAAGAGCTAGCTCATCTGTGGGGAGCTGACAGTATTTCTTCTCTCAATGACATACATAGCCAAATTTATCTGTAAAACTATAAGCCTAGAATGCTGAAAAAAATTTCTACTTGCAAATATAATAGCTACAAAACTATAATTAGGTTTAAGGATAAGCAAAGTGGACCTACCTACCACATTTCGATCCAAATCAGGACAATTTGAAGTGGTAGTGCAGAGAATGGCTTACCGTGTTCTTCACCCCGCTAATCTAGAACAAGTTGCTTTGTCAAAAATTGTGCTTTCTGTATTGATGGGTATATTCCTAGAGGTGTCTACAACAGGCCCTAACAGAAAAAGTCACATACCTGAATTAACTGTTTCCGGAAGACTTGCTTCCACGATGTTAAATTATATAGTTTGCTTGGCCTTTATAGAAGATGCATCTGTATCTTTGCAATGTTTTCACTGAAATAGTTATCTTTTAAATTCTCCCTTAGATACAGCATTTTAAAAAAGTACTCAGCAGATAATATGCCAAGCTTGTTTTATAACTGCACTCATGAGCTCATCTGTTCTAGTAACCCAGATTTCTCTTGATTTTTGGATGGTTGATGACTGGACTTGTGCTCTCGCACCGTTTGGGTAAGAATACAGATTACAAAACACCGTCCAATATGAAGAGGGCCCCTAAACCACCTAGTCCCCACCCTCTTGCTGTAGAGGTAGAAAGTGAAACCCAATAGTTGACTTGAAGCTTCAAACCATCCAACGGCGTAACGGGCATCTCTGGATTGCAGGCCAGTGGGCTGCCTTCCCCTTGCCCAAGCGAACGTAGCGAACTAGAGATGAAGACGCGACCTTACCCTTCGGCTTCGCGGATCTCTACTTTCCCCAGCCCAGCAGTCACAAATGACAGCGTACCCGGAAGTAAACGTTAATACTTAGATCCGGAACCCTTGAGGACTTAAAAACCAAAACGGAGCCCAAGAAATAAAAGTTTAGTGAACGACTACGGGTTCAGGGTGGTTAGCGCTTCAGGGACCATTACCTCCCACTAAGCCTGACCCGGCTCTAGCACCAACTCCCAAAGGCAAGGGCCCCCTAAATCCTACCCAAATGTCCAGCTCTTCTGAAGACTGGATGGTTGGCCCTAAAAAGGGCCGTTAGCGTAGATATATGTAGAGCTGAAGCGGCAGCTTAGCCTCCGAAGCCATACAGGGTGCGTCCCTGTCGCTTGAGAGCATACACCACGTCCATAGCGGTAACCGTCTTGCGCTTGGCGTGCTCAGTGTAGGTGACCGCGTCCCGAATGACGTTCTCTAAGAACACCTTGAGCACACCACGAGTCTCCTCATAAATGAGGCCGGAGATCCGCTTGACTCCCCCACGCCGAGCGAGGCGCCGGATGGCCGGCTTGGTGATGCCTTGGATGTTGTCCCTCAAGACTTTGCGGTGGCGTTTAGCACCACCCTTACCCAAGCCCTTGCCACCCTTTCCTCTTCCTGACATAGCGACTGCAGCCCGAACACACAACCTCTAGAGCGGGTAGGGCGGCTTTCCCTTTAATATACAAGAGTGCCGGACCAGATTGAGAACAGAAAGCGCGCGGCGGGACGCCCGCCCTAAATTGTCCCCGCCCGCTCGGCATTGCGTCATTTCTTCTGTGCCGGGTCCCTAGCCCTGCTTCCTCGCTCCCCACGGCTCCCCCTAACGGGCTCTTGAAAAAAAAACCTATTGGCCATCGTCCCCGGGAGAGCACAGATCCCAAGGCCAGGCTTCCGGGGGCCGCAACCGTTTTCGCCTTTGTCTCTCTCCGTTTGTGGACTCCTCCAGGGCATAACATGTAGGCTGAGAAAGGTCTTTCTGGTGGGAGAAGACGAAAGGAAGAGCAAAGGGAGTCGAGAGACGGGGAGGAGAAGAGGGCGCCAGCGCCGGCTCTAACCCCGACTAGAGGAGCACCGGCTTCCGAAGCACGGTTACAGAAAACTGCAACAAAGCCGGTCCGACGCTCGGCCGACCTAGAAGGCCACGAGCAGAGCAGCCGCACCTGGGGTGTGTGCGGAGTGGGCGGAGGGAGACGGCCGCCGTAATTTCTGAGTCTAGTCTGTTCTGTTACTAGGGGGCTTGGGATTTCACCTCACCCCGGAGAAATCAGGTCTTAGGAAAACTGGTTTTCTCTATCTGCAAGCCTTCTCGTGGAGGTCAGTGGATCCAACGCACTGTCCTCCAAAGCTCTGCCGAAAGAAGCAACATATACAGAAAGAGAACAAAGGTGTTCTGTATCTCCGTTTCTACAGATCCTCTAAAATCGACCCCTGCTTTCAGCCAGAAATCAGTGACCAAACTGTGTCCCCCATGGACGCCCCACGTGGAGCCAGCAAACTTTGCTGAATTGGGTTTCGCAAGGGGAAATCTCCATTTTGAAAAACATTACCAGAAACTGCCCTATGAAGTTGGTTGGGGTCCTTTAGTGATAGCATGTCTGTTACTTTACCAGGGCCTTCTGTAAGGAGAATCTATCAGAGGATGTGGTTTTTGCATCAGAAAGAATTATCTCTTTTTTCTGAGGGAGGTATACTGTCTTAAATCTTTCATGGCTTTTTCCTCTCCTGGCTCTACTATATGCTAATGAGTCCCAATATTATATCTTTATCCAGACTTCTAGGCTCCAGACGTATAGATCCTCCTGGGTTGTTCTTTAGTCGTTTTAGACTCAAATATCTCAAAATGCTTAAACTTCAAAGCTCCAAGGTGTGACTCTAATGGGGGCTGAAGGAATTCATTCTCTTCCTTCTTCCGCAGCCATAAACCTTGTTCTTTGCTCATTGAATGGTGCCACCATGCATCACTTGCCTAAACCAACACCCTGGGATTCACAATAGATGTTGATTACAAAAATTAAATGAAAGGAATGTTGAGAAAGAAGGTATCTTTAAAAAATAGGCTCTTTCTTTCTCTTTCTTTCTTTCTTTTTCTTTCTTTTCTTTTTCTCTTTCTTTCTCTTTTTCCCCAGACAGGCTGTATATTAGTTGAATTGTGAGCATTCTGTTCTAATTTCCCCCATAAACAAGAGATAGTAAGTGTCATACATGTCACATCTGTGGCCTGAGCTTAAAACAACAAGAACAACAACAAAAACCAAGTGATTTACCTTTCTCATGGAAAATTTTCTGAGCTGCTTTTAGGTGGAAAGGGGGAGGTCAGAGAGCACCTCCTATATTTGTTGTTTCTCAAGTAACTTCAGCTCAAAATAATATACCAAAGTGGCATATTTGGGGGTGGTATTTTCTGAACCCCTGCAAACTGAAATCTGCCGTAGAGGAGGCAAAATTTCACCACTACCCATTTTGAGTTTTTGGCTGGGCCTGATAATTAACACAAGACAGATTAACAGGAGAAAAGCATAGAAGTTTATTTACTCTGAGTTTTATTTGCCATTGGAGCCCTCATAAGGAAATGAAGACCCACAGAAGCAGTTAGAGTTGACTGCTTATAGACTGAATTGGATAGAGTAGTAAATCATGAAAATGTCACAAGACAGAAGGGCTTTGGCTAGGACAGTTAATGGTGGAAAAATAACTAGGAAGATAAGGGTTAGTTTAACAAAGGTTTCTTTGTGCAGATTTCTCTTGGCTTCAACTCCCCATCCTCAGCGAAAAGAATGTTATTTTCCTCCTGGTATAGGGAAAACATCTTCCATATGGGGGTTCTGTCTCCTGTTTTTAGGAAAGAAACAGAGGTCAGAGCACACTTCTTGCTCCTGCTGTTTTTCAAGTGCCTTTAGCTCAAAATAATCCCTGTGCCAAATGGCATAATTTAGGGATGGCATATTCTACCACTGATAGGATTTGGAACATGCTACCCCAAAATATGGCACCTTGGCATATTAAATATTTTAATCTTGAGAAAGGGACATAAGCAGGAAGTTTACTCTAACCTTCCCCCCAAAGCCTTCCCCCTTGAAACAGGTCATAAAACTTCTTGTGCCTTCTCTATATGACTAGAGGGATAGATGAGGAGGAAAGGAGTATCTTTATCTCTAAAGACAAAGGGACCTACAGAAGAATCCTAACAAACGGGCCCTGGCTTATTAGACTTAACCGCATACTCCTTAACCTACTGCATTTTACAGGAGACAGGAGTGCCCACACTTCATCACACCTACCATAAAAATACTCAGGTCAAACTGTTTCTTTGGATCTTCATTTCCTTATGAAGTTTCTGCATCACATAAAACTTATATTAAGTAAATTTGTGTGCTCTTCCGCTGTTGTTCTGTCTTTGTTGGTTTAATTTTCACACCCAGCCAGGGACCCTAGGAGGACTGAGGAAAACTTTTTCCTCCCCTATGCCACCCTTCATTGTACAGGACAAGGAATAGTGTTAAGGTAAAAGGGGGAAGTTTTTATCCAATGAGCAAGTCGTTGAGGGAATGACTTTATCTCAGAATGAAGTTAAAGAAGCTCAAAAGCCCCCTGCTTCTGAATTTGGTCCAGTGCTATTGGTCACTTAAGATGAAAGGCAATCATTTCATTCATATGTGGAGTTTAAGAAAACAAAAGAACGAAGAAAGAGAGCGAGATAAACCTAACACAGACTCTTAAAAGAAGAAACTGAAGGTGACCAGAAGGGGGTGGGCTGGGTGAAGGAGGTAAAGGGGATTAAGAGGGCACTCACCTTGATGGGCACCGAGCAGTGTATGCAAGTGGTGAACCGCTATACTGTACACCTGAAACGAATATAACACTGTAGGTTAAACTGCACTGGAATTAAAACTTAAGCATTAAAAAAAAAGAAGAAGAAGAAGATGAAAGGCAATCAGGCACATGGCCTGCCCAACCCACAAACCAGAGATCCAGTCTCATCTTGAGGGTATTTGAAGCTTCGGGGGTGCCTGCAGTCAGAGACTGAACAGAAACTGTCTTCCCGGAACATATAATTTAGTCCATTACTTTTACATTAAAAACAAACACATGCGCATACAAAACATTATATTTTTCTTTTAGCTGCTTATTTCCTGTGGCAAATGTTAAGCTGCGTTCATGTGCTCTTCCCCCCCCCCCCGGACCCCCCAGCACTAAATAATGAAACTTCAGGGCTCAATCTGGAAACTGCAGATCTTATTATTTCTAGTGAAGAAAACTCAGAGATATTAGTAGGAGAAAAATACTCCCTTTTCCCCACAGCAGCAGCAAAGCAGAGGTTCTTCTGCATTATCAATTTACTTCTGATAGAGGAGTGTATTGAGAACCTTCACAGAAGCACTCTATTGTCCAATGTGGAGACTAGGTGAAATCAAATGATTATGGATCTGAATTCTGTTTTTAAAGGTGACTTCTAAGTGTCAGGGAGCAAGAATTTCCTGTCCCCTTCAAAGTCCTTCTACCTAGACTAAGAATCAAATTGACATGAGACAGATTAACAGGAGAAGATAAAATTTAATTCTGTATGTACAAGGAATCCACACAGACATGGAAATTCCAAAGACAGTCAGGCAGAATGAGGTACATAGTAGTCCTGAGCCAAGAACAGGGAGTAGGCCCTGGGACTTCAAAGGGAAGGAATGCAATTCACAGGAAGCTGAAAAAGAGTACATGTTTGGTAAACACGTGTGCTGGGCCACTCAGAAACAATGGGACACAGGGGACTTTGATCAAACAGGCCTTGCTAGGTTCCTCCCTGCCTACCAGACCTTCCGCCTTTCCTTAGCTTTTCCTTTGATTGCATGATAAGAAAATTCCTCAGTGCTTTAAAATGTTTCATCAAGCCTGATGAAACTAGAAATCCATTATAATTTCATTCCTTTGCTTTAGGATATTATGCAGGCCTTGTTACTTGTCTAGGACAAGCCATAATTTCTCTGAGACTCTGTTTCTTTATCTGTGAAATGAAGAAAGTAACATCTATTTCACAGAGTTGGGATTAAATGAGAGAGTGTATGTAGAATTTTTAAATACTGAGTCGTGCTCTCTACATGTTAGGATTACCTGACCAACCACAGGAACAGGTGACAGGTGTTCACATCAGTTATACCTTTGCAAGGACATCTTAAGTCTCCCTAGAGCAGGAGATTGTGCTGCCAATGGGGACTCTTGAAGATATAAAGATAAGTTTCTAGGTTGTTTAGCGTTCAGGAGATCCCCTCAAAATAACTTTTATTTTGCCTTCAGCAGGAAGATAATCATTCATATTGACACCATAAAGTGAGTTTTAAGCTTGTTGGGCCTGATTGTGTTCACAGGTTTGAGTTTTTATGAGGTTTGGATGCAATGCTTTTTCAATAGAATGAGCATATGATTAAAAGTTTTATAACTATTCATACTTTTAAGCATTATTACCTTACATGACTTGTTTTATGACATGCAATTTTCTGAGCAATACTTCAAAGCATATGAAATAACTAAAAAGCAGAGTATGTTCAATTTCCCTATAGAGAATAGAAAAAATGAAACTTTTAGATGAAACTACTTTATTGAAGAAAATATGTTAGCAATCAGTAATCAACGAATAACTTATTTGCTTTGAAACTTTATTACAGCTTTTAATGTGACTGATAAGCAAGTCGACTATTTAGAAACTATTCACCATTGTAAAGAAGAAATTAACGTTTCCCGTGTTATGGTCCTTGACTTAGAAGCGTTTCGTCCACAGGACCTAATTGGCCATTGATGACCAAGGTGGAAAAGCTAAGGAAAGGCGGAAGGCTGTACCCTGTAGGTTGGTGCTTTGGGTAAACGTAAATTCACTTTTTGGCTCCTTCAACTACTACTGTAATGCAACTAACGCGCTTAGCACAGTGTCAGGCGCTAAATAAATGTTAGCTATGGGATTGGAGTTATAGTAACTCTTAACTGAAACCTAGTTCATGGGAAGGCATGCTTTTATTTCGAAGGGACCTGTTAAAATATAAATCCCAAGCTTTATTTAAAAAAAAGAAAAGAAAAACGTCCGTGATCGATAAGATTACAGAAAAGTACGGAAAGGTAAATAAGAGGGAAAGATTATCATAACAATCTACCCGAGTAAATAGGATTGAATTCTAGCCAATGAGATAACATTCTGGAGGTTCCTACCCCTCCTGGCCCAATCAAGACAAGGCTATGTCTATAAATAAGACTGCCTAGCGCTCCTTGAGCGAGACCAGCAAGACATCATGGCTCGCACGAAGCAGACCGCCCGCAAGTCGACCGGTGGCAAGGCCCCGCGCAAGCAGCTGGCTACCAAGGCGGCCCGCAAGAGCGCGCCGGCCACGGGCGGCGTGAAGAAGCCGCACCGCTACCGGCCGGGCACCGTGGCCCTGCGCGAGATCCGGCGCTACCAGAAGTCCACCGAGCTGTTGATTCGCAAGCTGCCGTTCCAGCGGCTGGTGCGCGAGATCGCGCAGGACTTCAAGACGGACCTGCGCTTCCAGAGCTCGGCCGTGATGGCGCTGCAGGAGGCGAGCGAGGCCTACCTGGTGGGGCTGTTCGAGGACACGAACCTGTGCGCCATCCACGCTAAGCGCGTCACCATCATGCCCAAGGACATCCAGCTGGCTCGCCGCATTCGCGGGGAGCGGGCTTAAGGCTGAGTGTTTTTATGTGAACCATCTAAAGGCTCTTTTCAGAGCCACCCACGTTTTCACGCAGAGCAGCTGTACCGTTTTCCGCCGGGCGCAGGTCTACGATCGTGCCCCTGTGCATCAGATGGATCGGGGTAACTCGCACGTGTTGCGTGACGAGATAACGGAACCAGTCTGTCCTTAAGTCGGCTGGCGCGCTAGGGGGAACAGCTGAGATGGTTTTATAGGTCGCTTTTGCCAAACTTTCTTTTCACATGCTGAGTTATTAAAAGTCTGGAGCGTCAACCTAGCCTGAGAAAAACTTTGCAAGAGGGAGGACCATGCTCTACCAGTCGTTCACAACGTTACAAGCTGCTAGTACAAAACGTTGGCACGAACCCAGATACAGAAATTAAGTAGAAAGGCCGTCATGTGGGTTTGTGATAACGGCTGGGATGGGAATCTGGGTTTATCAACCAGATTTTACAGTTAGAACTAAGCCGGATGTTAAGGCCCTGTTTTAAGTACTGAAGCCTCTTCCTGGCTATTGTCGCGAGTTGTATGACAATGACCTAATACCTTCCTCGTTGCATAACATAGGCGGCGCAAACAGGAATTTGAGGGAAACACCTGATTTTTTTTTTTTTTTTG